CCACATGTTTTATTTGTAAGCAGACCTGAGCTTTGGAAAACTGCAGAAAGAAGAAACCGACGCGATGAAGTTGTCCTGGCAAGGATGCGTAATGGACATACATCTATGAAGCATACGTATCTTGTGAAGGGACTGTACTCAATGACCTACAAGACCTGCGAGGTACGTCTCTCCGTGGAACACAGTCTGCTGGACTGCGAGATCCTGATTGACGCAAGGAGAGATTGCAGCATAAATAACAAGCTGGACATCGCTTCTGGCAACTAAGCCTGTTGTTGAAAATTTAATTAAGTTTATAAAAGCATCTATGTACTATAATCTTATTAAGTCGAATCAACGAATTTCATCTTTAAAACAGAATTATAGACATCAGTATCTGTGAAATATTTCTCATAAAATATGTAGTGTATTAAGATACCATTAACAATGTTATACTTCATGTTAAAGAAAATCCCAAATTGTATATACCAATACAATGTTGTATGCTAATGACCCAGTATCGGTAGATGCATTTGTTAAAATAAATAAAATAATGATAAACTTTTTCGAATTTTTTTTTTCCGTCTGTTCCCCCTAATTTGAAGGCTGCGTACGCCCTTGTGTGGTTCATCACACAATGTTCAATTAACATCCATCTTTCAGCAGAAATAAATTTTAAATAAATGAATAGATCTTAAGAATATTAATCTAACTATAAATATGAACATACTATACTTAATTTCACATAATTAATATAAATTATGACAATGCTGTGGACTATATATGTTGTGTTAGTTAAACCAAAAATCAATTTTATGTTTCTATTTAGTACAAACAAATTTCTTTAAGTCTTTATGAAACTATTTAGTTTTCATTCAATAATATAAACGTAGATGTTAATTACCAACTATAACAGTTAGTCATTCATCACTCTCCTTTATCTTTGTATCTGTTAGACATTATATAGTATAATATCATAGATATATAATAGACATTGTATTATATACTATCTGTTAGATATTAATAATTTTATAAAAAAATTTACTATTCGATGTACATCTATATCACTACTCTCATCTCCGGAAAATAGTTTTTAACTTGCAAAAAATATTTTACTATTTTCGACTTTAGTTAATTACTACTTTTAGTATTATTATTTTTATGTTTTATTAATTGTAAATAGAGTGTCAATGTGATCTTTGAACACTATTATAAATATCCTTGATTGTGACAGATTGACAGATGACTAATTTCAATTTCAACATTTTTGATGATTAATTTTAGTAATATATCATGGAAAAATGTATAATTTTATTCACAGTTCTATATTTCGACACTGCAAGCACCTACTCTGGAATCAACTTACTCACTGTCTGTTCAGACTAGAAATATCACTAAAATGACTTTACTCAAAAAAGTTGAAATTGGATTCTGTCAACTGAAAGGCTCATTTATAATAATGGTCGCTTATGTATATTAATTGATAATTTGTCATACATTAATAATTTTGGTGGTTTACCTTGATATACCAAGAAATATTTGAACTACGGTTTCGTCTCTCTCCTTCATACATCGACGAGTACCTATGTCAGATATTACTCATTCCCGCCCTTTTGGTTTAAACCAAAATTTTCATTACATGGGCATATTTTTGTTTAAAAAAAAATAATAACAACTTCCTAAACGCTGGATAAAATTTAATCTGAAATTTTTATCATTCGGTTTTTAGTAGTTGTTAATTACATAATGTAAGAGGAGGTTATATATGCATAGTGTGCTATGAAACTGAATTCTTTTTTTTTTTTTTTTTTTGTGTATAAATTAATTTCTATGTATGAAGTACATTTCATTTCTAAATACTTATTTTGAACCTTTTATTTTCCATTCTTCTTCTTATGGTTTTTTCAATCTCTAAAAGCTATCTAATGAACGATGCAAATAACAATAAATAAATGTTTAAAACCAACAGAAAAATGAACTATTATATTAAATTTTAGGATTTCGATTTTAAAAATAATATTTACTATATTAATATAGAGAGCATATTGCAAGTTAAGCTATTATGGGCGGGAACGTAGATTCCCAGTCATTAGGAATCGATCCTGATTAAAAATCTATATTCTATTCTCTACAGTGTTAATATTCTTATTATAGCTATTTTCATCTGAGGAGCAGATTTAAGAATATATCTAGAAATATAATATAAGAATATTTTTAAGAAATATATTATTGAATTGTTTTTTTACCGATATTCTACTACTCAGAACCAAAGGTAATTTTTTTCATTTGATATGAATATAATCAGAATATCTATAAGATTATAGATATATCTCTAAAATAACTAATGATATTCAAAATCCGTTTTTCTGAAATGGTAAATGCTATAATAGAGCAAGTTTAAATTTGAAATAATGTATAAAGTTTCTAATGCTACTTAATCTCATCTACAAATAATCTATACCTAATAAAAGAAACTGTATATTTGACCTTTAGTCATAAATTATTTTTGCTAAATTAAAACCAATGTGGATAATCAGTTATATGCCAACCAGACAGATTTCATCTCAAACATTTAAATCAATATGTATGAAACTTGTTAATTATTTTTCCTTTTTCATTGCTGTTTCAGATTTATTTGGAATAACAAATATATTATTTCATTACAGATTTAAGGAAAACATGAAGGTTTATCTTTCAACACGTTCAAGGAGAGATGGATTTAATAAAATACATTTGGTAAGAAGCTCCAATGCGTTTTCTTAATAGTTACTGACTGTTTATTTTTCATTATGTTGAACATGAGTTGCAACAATGAATGTATGTAAATATTACTTACATTAAAAACTTTATTGAGGCCTCTTAGTGTTGTTACCATGGATGATTAGTTAGTTAATCAACGGATAAGCAAATGACACATTTTCTATCTTTAAAACTTACCATCTTTTAAGTTACAATTAGTACTGATACAGGTATTGTAGACAACACCAACAAAAATTGGATAAATATTAATTATATATAAAAATTGCTTCTGTTTATTATTAGAATATAAGAGTATTTATTTTTTCCCCCAGGCTGTATTGAAACCACCATTTTTTGACTCAAGGTCGCTAAGTTGGCAACTTAACACTTTTGGCCTTACTTCCTCAGTATAAATGGAGGCCTAAATATCTGGATGGCATGATATTCAAAGCCATAATGTTTTCAATAGAAAATGCTTAGACTTGAGACAAATGTAACTGCCTATCTATCTAAGGATTTATATTTCAGACTTATCGACTGCCAATAGTTTCAACTTAGGTTCACCTACCAATGTTTTTTTAAAATAATTTACTCTGAAGATATGAACAATTGCTTTAAAAATTGGTGACTGCTGTATCTTGGCGCTCTAGACAAACTGTAGGATGAAAAGTAGTTACGTGAGCGACATTTTGTCTAAGGATTACAGAATGTGAAATGGAATACTGGGGTAAAACTACACCTATCTCCTATTAATTTAAATTAATATTAATTTAAAGGCAGCGACAATATTCTCTTAAAAGCAAGTTGTAGGATATCTCAAGGCAAGAGAAAACTTTTTGCTACCAGTTATGATGAATTGGAAAGTAAATGTTTATATAGTTTAAACGCATAATATTTAAAGTTGAATATTTGTTTTTTTTTAAACTTTTTATTACCAAAATATAAATTTGACTTTACACTTTGAAGTAATTGATGGTTTAAAGAACAAAATTGTGATTTAATCTCAAATATATATATCTATATTTATATATATTTCCATAAAATTCAAATTGTACAAATAAAACACTAAAATATACCTATAAAACACAACTCTAGGAATATTTTTATCACTTGGATATTTACAATAAAGCTCTTTTGCTTTTACAATGAATAAAGAGCAATATTTTCATAAAGATAGATCTTTCTAAACAATTTTATAGGTAACATATAAAAATCATTATACAACTGTATTTTAAGGCACTTATGAAAGAACACGGAACATTTACATTCTTCTTCTTAATAATACATTTTAAAAATGAAAGATACAATTTATGTTAAAATTATCTTAACATAATTTAACCAAAGTTGTTTATAATATCATATTTAAATCTAATCATTGGTATCAGATGTTGGCTTATTTGACCAACAAACTGTACTCTATACACAAAAATATACAACAGAATCATAAATTAATACACAATTTGAGCACAGTTTTAAAAAGTTAATTAAACATATTAAGCTTTAGCTTATTAAGTGGTTCTTAAGGTTTTAACGATTCCTTTAAATACAACAACAAAACAAGATGAGGATAAAAGAATTGGTTAATAAATTGAGAATACATTTTAAATTTGATAATTGATCAATTGCAATCTAACAATTAAAACAAGAGTATAATAAATGAAAGTTACAGTTAACATCTTAATAACATTTTGTCATGGTCTTGACTATAATATGTCGATAAAGATTTTCTTCTTTCAATAGAAACAATAGCACTTGCTGATTGTCCTTTATTGGTAATATAAAAAATCACAATATTATCTGTTTAAAATCTAAATTTGTCCACTTCTTATGTGTAGGCTCCTCTAGTATTTTTGGTTTTATATATTCATGCTAGTTAAAATTCATATAGCTAGTTTAAATTCGAAGCACATTTTTCTACTACTTCTTCAAAGCTTTTAAACTTTTAAGCTTATAGTTTTTATCAATATTCAAAATATTTCAGTTCTTAAACAATAAACTGTTTTTAGAAATATATCATTAACAGTAATTTCAAAGATGAGCTTCATCAACTGATCTTTTATTATTGTATATGTATTAAAGCAAGTGATCTTCGCAAAATTAGAGAAAAATTTTGTAACAGCTAACTAAGTGGAATTATGAATGTTATAAAAATAAACAATTCTATAACTTACAAACAAAAACTTTTCAACACAAAAGAAATAAAACTAAAAATGTCAAAACAATATTTTGGCGTATACTTAATACATTTTCTACAGATAATTAATTTTGTACTTTTATGTTTTGTATTTACAAACAATATATAAATATGCTTGAATAGAGAGCTACTAACTGTAAGAAAAATATATACACGCCAATATTTTCTTCTGGTAAAGAAAGAACTAAATGATTCGAACAAATAATTATGTTCCTATTTTAACAAAAATACATTAAGAAAATATATGGTATTAATAAAAATTAAATTAAAACAACAAGACGTCAAACAAAAGTCGGCCACTGCTCAGACCTCTGCTGGTAATAGGGAGGTTGAGGAGAGTAGTATGGCCCAGGTGTGTAGCCCTGGAAGGTTGAAGATGTAGCAACTGGAAAGTACTTCTGAGGATCATGGCTCCTACAAAAAAATGGCTCTTTTAATGCCATCTATAATGAATAATGCAGCAATTATGTAGGCTGAGGGTCAAAACAGTTATTTTAATTTTGTAATGAGTTGAGTTTGGACAGGTTAAAAAAAAAATCGATGGTACTACTATTTAAGAATGGTGAAAAAAAAAAAACTGCATTTTATATTAGTCAGTTTCTATTAAAATTTATTAGAAAAATAAAGTACTGAATCTAAGGCAAATTGATTTATTTTTTATAAATTTTAAACAAAATACTGAATTTTTCATACAACTGTTGCATAATTAGTCATTAGGTGATAAATTAAATCGGAGGCTATTTTTATAAGTCAGAATTGTGACATAGTATTCAGTACAAAAGTTAAAATCAGATACACAGGTTTAAGTAAATAAAATTTACTAATAGTAAGAATTCAATCTTCTGAAATAATGTTTTTAATAAATAAATATATTTTTTAGTGTTTTTATTATAATTATACTATTGAATTATTGAAGTACATAAATGCCGCATTATGCAGTGTTAAAAATTTGTATTATATTTAATGATGTGGAAACAATATTGTTGGTTTATGCAAAAAGTCAACTTGTATGATGGAGGTGAACTTTTAACAATGTTTTATGAATTCAACCTTGTTTGTCAATAAAAAAAAAAAAAAAAAATACAGTAAGCACAGTAAAATGACAAACATTTATATATATCTATATACCTTATATAATTACTAAAAGAGCACAATCTTCCAAATCCACAGACGGAAAATTCATTGAAGTTCTTAGTAACTTAAGGTTATACGGTCACTGAACAAATTTTTGCAATAAACTAATAATACATAAAATATTATGTATCAAAACAGAACTGCTCTTAAAGATTAAAAATTAATTTATGTTTCAGTCTTTTATAAATTTATTTATTTATTTTTTCGGTTCCCCCCTTCCTCGCCTTTTAGGTTGTACGGGGTTTTCCCAAGCCAAGGGTAGAGAATTAATGCCAGCATTAAAAGCTTCCCCGTCGCTGGGACACAAACTCGTAATTATTTTTCATCTATAACATTGGTTATCAGGTTGCTGCACAACACGCGGTGCTGTGCACACGCGTTAGCCCACTCGGCACCCCGCACCCTCCTATAAATTTATTTTGTTAAGTGTACCATATAATAACTGAACATTACAAAAAAAAATACCTTTGACCATCAGCCTGACTGTAATCCTCAGCAGAAGCCTCCCATTGTGGTGGTTGTTGTTGATAGTGAAGATATTGATCTAGCTCATTGTTGTCAACAGGTTCGACTGGATATTCATCCAGAAGAATATCTTGTCCATTTACAGAACCTGAAAGTTGAAAGATTTTGTTATTTCTGAACATGTACCTACTCATTAATTAACTCAAATTCATGTAGGCTAATGCTGTATTTATATTTTATACTAATGCGGTATAGTTTAATTGTTTTTATAAGAGATAGTTTATCAAACCAATGAGTAAAATATTAAAAAGAAGAAAGAGAATTTTTTACTTTTCCAAGTTAAAGTCCATTGTTAAATTTTGGCACTCCATATAATACATCAATTATAAAACTAAAAATATTATTCAATTTGGTACTTATTTAGATTAGTATTTCTATGCAAACATTACATTATGTTTTCTACAATTATACTTATCTTTGCTGATGAAATATCTTACATGTTTTAATATTGGTTATTTTGAGCCAATGTGAGTTTCAATTTGACAATTCTTATTCATATTGGTTTTTTAAACTAGTATACAATTTTTTTTTTTGTCTCAAATTATAAACAGATTGTATTAAAATTATTACATAATAAAGCAATGAAAGTTTGGGACCCCTTAACATGATTTATTATGCTAAGCTGTAGTTCTCAAGATGTGAATATCAGAAGCAAAAATAATTATATACGAAAGTAGATTCAACCAGCAGTTGAGATTTATTTTTATGTGAAAAAAACTATTCCACACTTTATAGTCATGTTTCTAGTTTTTATTAATGATATTATATTTGATTTATTCAATAAACTTACAAGACATTGTGGGGGAAATATTTAATAGAACTTATATGTATTACAGTTGTAAGCTTGGAGAAATAGAAACTATTCACATTTTGGTCACAAGAATGATCAGGAGCAGATGAAGTTGCATCTTAGAAAATCGATTTTGAAGACTGTTACGTCAAATAAAGGAGGTGAGTTGTTTTACTAATGCAATATTTTGTTTAATAGCAATAATCAGCTGAAAGTAATTTATATAAGTTTCCTTTATTCATTAATTTCTTTGAACCTTATTTTGAATAAAACGTACCTACAATTACCTCCTATTTCCTAGAAATCATACAATTTTTTCATACTTCTAATAAAACTCCTTAGATTGCTAGGATAGTTAACATTATGGTGTTGGTCTGTTAACATAAATATCTGTAAACGTATAATCTACTAATATAAAATTAATATAAATATGACTAGTTTCTCACCTGGATAGTACGGCTGTATTGGCAGTCTTAATCCAGGCTTGTTGGGTGTCGTAGGAGGAGTTGGAGGTCCATACTCTGAGTCTCCACTAGAACTGAGTTGATCTTCCATCTTTATGTCACTCCCACTATAGTCTAAGGCTGTTCTGTAACACAAAATTCAATAGCAACCTCAAGTAGTTTATAGGATTATAGCAATAATATTAGATATATTATAGACTTATTACACATTTCATTTATTATATTTAAATATTTAGCTTGTTGATTTATAGATTATTGATTGTGCTACAGTAAACTATTATATTAATCAGCTTGCTTAACATGAATAAACAGGAGATGAATCATAGAAACCAATTCAGTTCTTACATTATATAATATACTGAAACTAAAGATAACTTGGCATCTAAACTCACGGGTAGGTAGCATACTGGGGCTTGCAGATTGCCTGCTTGCAAACTGATGGCTTGCATGCTGTTTGTTGCTGGATAGGCCGCTGTTGTTGCTGTTTTCCTGGTGGCTTCCTCCTTCTTGGTTGGTATTTATAGTCAGGATGCATCCTTTTGTGTACCACACGAAGCCTCTCTGCCTCTAGCACAAAAGGTTTCTTGTCCTTGTCAGCCATCTCTCTGGGAAAAAAGGATCAAGATTATAAGTTTGTATAAAAAAAATTAATATACAATTAAATAAAAAAAAGTGATATAACCTAAATATGATTACTCAAACATTTATTAATGGTTAATGACAATAGTTTCAGCATCACTGAAAATATTATCTTTTAAAATACTGACTATTTTGGTCCATTAGGAGAATATATAGCAGGGACAAACAGTTTGGCTGACCCGGGCATTGCTTAAAGACGGGGACCAAAACGCTACAAAAAATTTAATAATTTATTTTTTAGACTCCAAAATTAAAAAAAAAAATAGTTTTAAATTTAACATTATTTGTTTAAATTAGTAGCTTGGAGATGGAGGTGTTGGAAGCAGCAAAACTTGAATTGTGGGCAGTAATCTTGAACGTCTCCGACCTCAGTTAATCTAGTTACACCTCTATGATACACTTCAAAAATAGACTTTTTAAACACTTTACAGCCAAATGGTTATGATATCTTGCCTAGAATTTTGAAGTCTTTTAGATCCTCTCACACATTGTAAAACTACCTCATTGTGGTTTTATTTACTCTTATGTTCAGTTCAAGACCTCCACACAACTTGCTGGCCTTACAATGAGTGGCATAACTAAGAAGTACTACACCACAGTGTTGTTTTTCTAGTAAACCCCTTTCGCTTTCTAGTAACACCCATTCCTTAGGTAAAACTTTACCTTGCTACATTGCTCACTCTTAAAAATACTAAACAGTGTATAATTATGTTCACAATAAATAGGTAAAAAATGCTTAAAAATATTGGCGTTATTTAAACAACTGCTTATAATATTAAGCCATTCATTATTATTTATCGGTCTCAAGAACTAGATAGGCCTTATTAAATAACATTTTATAATTTCTTATCAAATAAATCATCCATTTATATAATAAATCCATATATTATTTGTTAAATAATAATAAAACATATTATAATTAATAAAAAATGCAAAACGCGCCTAAAGAATTTTTCACTTCAAAAAATGAAGGTTTGTTCTAAATATATGAGATAAAAAAGGGCGTATTTTATATTTATTACTATTGCCAAAACCTAGGGGAGTTACAAAATCTTACGGATATGTACCCAAAATTTCTTCATGAAATTCAAATTTCTCTTGAAGGACCTAAAAGGAAAACAAACTCGGGAACCGAGTGAAACCAAAACAAACACCTTTGTGCGACCCTCCAAGACGATAATTGGAGATAATAAGTTTTCGTATTTACCTCGTTAAGATATGGTAATGAGCTACGTGATTTCAGAATGCTTACAAGCTTTTCGGAGTTTGTAGTGTAACGTGATTTCGTCTTAAGTTTCTTCGGTAAATATTTTCGGAAGTTGTAGGCCAACGCACAAAAAATGGAAAGAAGAGCGCATATAAGATTTCATCACTTTTTTTTTTTTTACAAAACGAATAATAATGTATGACTAATAATAAAGTATTAGAGATTCAGACACATTTGTAAGTATAAAAATTCCTGTAGGTGCAGAATTTTAAAATAAATTGGAAGTAAATATTTGGAATGAACTTCCAGTTCTTTGATAGAATCATATATTATGATTAAATTAAGCTAAGTCATATTTCAAATGAAGTCCAAGATTTAGGAAGTTTCGCTTAGACAGGGTGTTTCGTGTAAAACAATGAGGGACTAAGGAACAGGAATACCCATTCTCCAGAGTGCTATGTCGTATAATCCCGCTGCTAATCCCAAGACATTTTATTACACCCCTCACTTATTTATGGCAAGTTCCCAAACTCAGCGATGGCATCGGAAATTCATCAAACTGTTTTTAAACTGATCAATAGAAACCATGGATGGAATTCAGCGCGTTACTTTGTTCAGCGATTGTATCGCCGGATCGATGGATCCGTTGCATCTAACCTCATTATAACTATAGTGTTGTTATTTCAATGTACATTTATTTTTCAATCGAAATTCATAAATCCAGTGAGTAGTTATTTTCTTACCTTTAAAAAAAAAAAAAATTATGAATATAAAATGTATGTATCTTTCCACTGAAATCCATCAAATCGTTCCTAAACTCAGAATTGATAGCTGCCCATCACTGCTGAATGATGAAATATTTCAATGAAATCAGCGCTGAGTATAGGAACTTGCCTATCATAACAAATTGATGCATACTTACGTATTATTGCTCCATACTTACGTAGAACAAGTAAAGGTGCGTTGTAAACATGTTCCCATCCCACCAACTTGCCTATTTTGATGGTGCAACTTGTGTTATGAATCCCTTCTTCTGAGCATCCTAGCGCGAGAAATTCACTCATGAACTCGAATTCGAGGAAAATAATTGCTTGTTCTTTTCATATAACCACTGAATTGCGGAGAAAAATTACCAGCTCTTCGTAATAACCTAATCATTGAGGTCTGATTCTTGGTAAATTATATTATAAATAAAAAATAACCCTCAAAATTTTAAGTTTTACGCTTCCAGAGACATAATAGAATCCAGAAATCGAATAAAATATATATATATATATATATATATATATATATATATATATATATATATATATATAAAAGAACGATTATAAAGAAAAAGATGTATATCTTGTTTCATTAATAAAAATATACTAGTTGGCCCGTGCGAAAAGATCGCAGAAAATTTTGTTTAGTGAAGAAATAGCAAAACAATATGGAAATAAGTAGTTCCTATTTATTATGTAAGGAAGGAATTAATATTATTTCCTTAGTCGATTACAATATTCCATTAAATATAATAGACCAAAATATTTCTACAAATTGCTTTGCGATGACCTATTCTTAAACTCTGACTGAAAATATAATAAAAGTAATAAAGACAAAATAATGCCCTGATCATAGGATAATCTAAATTATTAAAAAAAAAAAATAAAAAGTAAGAACAAACAAATGTCTTTAAGAAATAATAAAGTTAATATAAAAACCAGAAAAAAAAATGTAGTAGACTATTCTACTCCTAAATGCAATATCCTTAACTAGGAAGACATTATTAAGTATACCAAAACTAATGGACTGTATCTTTGTTAATAATAGTCCGAAATTTACGATTTTTTTTTGTTGTGTAGGCAATTTAATAATCTTTCTAATTACCATTGGTACAATCCAGAAAACATACTTTTTGAGTTATTCGCAAATAAAGTTTCTTTTCCTCCATAACTTTTTTTCCAGAAAATTCGGAGGGATGGGACTATTTTTTGCTTGTGAAAAACAACATCTTAAAAACGAGTGGCCAATCATTGGATCTGATGAAGAATTGACGAGGTTATGGCGTACCGATAAAAAAAAAAAATTTTAGAAATGACCTTTTGTCGTCTTCCACACTATAAAAAAATCGATACTTTTATGCAAGAAAACGTCGTATAGGAAGATACAATTTATTTCACTAAGTGTTGGTTTATCAATTTTTAAACGTATTTACACACAGATATTAAATTCTGAAAATTGCATTAATATTTCATTCGTTTTTTTTTAAAAGCAATGCTCCACTCCTTCTCAACGGACACTCCTCCTTCACGTCAATCAATTATATTCGATTCATGACGTTCTTTGTAGTTTCACACAAGTTCCGTTCTTGCGTCTCTCTCCCCTCCTTCCCTCCCCCCCCAAAAAAAAAACAACAGGAAACATATCTCAAAAAGAAATTAATTAAAAAATTTAAGTACAGAAATCAGTCAACCAATTTAGTTTTTCTGATGCGTAAAAAACGAAAGGATGCTGATTGTAAATAATAATTGATGGACTCGGACGTGAGTGTCCTGATGCTTGAGGCCCGGCGAGGTTATCTCGTAATATAGATAGAGATAGCCCTCTGGTATAGTTGTGATAGCGGATAGCATTAGCTCTGTATCTCGTCATCAATTTGTCAACCCGGATTGCCTCATCCCAATTTCCCAAACATCAAAGTTCTGCCAACCAACTCAAACTCAAAGGCGTAGCTAGGGGAAGAAGAGCTGGGCAGGAGTCCCCAGCAAAGCCCACTGAAGAGGGGATGTCGAAATGCAAAAGAATAAATGCATTTTTATTTTTATATATGTTTACCTATTGTAGATACTGATGGATCTACGGTGGAGGGAGGGAGGGAGGAGGGAAAATGGAAAAATATATATTTTTTTCATTAGTCCCATAATTGTTTCTGTGGGTTGTCTTAGCTAAAAACCGTGTGGACCGAGCTAGGATTGTACATTCCGCTTTATATCTAGTAAAATTTATCATCTTGATTTTTATTTTTATTTATTTAATCTTGGACACTAATTCCTAAGTTGATTGTTATTTTAATAACAAATGATTGCATACACACTCATAGGATTTCCGTTAATTTGTTTACCTACATATTTATTTAAAATAGAAATAAAATTACAGTAATTAAAATTTAAGATATCTGGGAAAAATTGTATTTAGTTTATAAACATTGCACAAAAAATAAGTAAATATTCTACTATAATACCGCTTTAAAGATAATTTTGCTATGATTTTTTTTTTCTTTTTTGTCATACAAGTGTGACACTTTTAGCTATGGTGCCACAAAAATGTTTAAGAACAACTGATTTTGATCTACTGAATTCAATATTTTTTAACGTAATCTTAACGTAACCACTAACGTAATCTTCAACTCTAAAAATAATTACTATTCTAGGGATAATCAATACAAAAAAAATTAACATGAAAGACTATTCTGTAGGGTAATTTTAGTGTTAATGTAAATATTTAACTAGTGGAAACAAACACCAAATAGAAAACAGGAAACACTCCCTTTAATGGACCAAGTAACTGCTCATATAAAGAACGCTGGACTCAAACGTGAAACTGAGCTGTAGATAAATTTGGAAACCTGAGTGAATGCAATAAGTACAATTATTCCGACTTTCAAAAGAAAAGAAAATATGCTGTAGATTAAAGATGGTATTATTAAAAAAAATTAGTGATTTTAGAAAAAAATTACCAGCAATGAAAAACTTGAATCTGCTAGAAAATAGAAATGGA